TAATTTTGTCTCGTGCCTAATTACAATTATCGATTATGATTATTACGATTGTTTCTTATCGGTTGCCGCGACCAGTGGTAAAAACGCTTTCCTCCAATACAATTAATTTTTTTTAATTATATTGAAATTATTTTATAAATTAATATAATATAATTTTTGTTAATAAAATGATAAAAGTACCAGTTATATCTTTCTTTTCGAATTTTTCACAAATCTGGCAACGTTGTTCTCGTTACGAAAGACCATTCATTCGTAGAATTTTGGCACGTGATACCAGGCAGGAAATTCAAAATTGCCTTCGCCAAAAATTTTGTACGCGGTTTACGAGCCCGTTATTAGCTTTATTACATACAAAATGACGAAGAAAGGCTAGAAATTTATGTTAAATCGCCTTTATTTAATATAGATTACAATAGTCGTGCGTAAAAATACAGATTATTTAGTAATATTTTCTAAATAATCTNAAAAAAACCCACCAATTTTAATTCTATTTCATGACGTTCTTCCATTATTTTTAATTATAGATTTTTATTAATTTTTGTCGGTCGTTCGCCGCTTCGGATAGATCAGGATTTACACCTACAGTACAGTACAGGGTCTTTTAAGTATTATATTATTTATTATATATTATTTTTTGGTGAAAGAAGGATCTTACGCGTTATAGTTTAGGGCTACAACAAATTTAAATTTGGCTCTGGCTGCGGAAAGAAACTGTAGGAGGAGGATCATGTGGCGCGAAGGATGTTTCCTAAACTCGCGGTTCCTTTTGGTTGTTTCGTTCCTACGCCTAAAAACCCGAAGGTTACCGTTGATTATTACAGAATCTACGAGTTGCGATTGTAATTTTTTCATAGACGTACCTGGTAGACACTAATAGGCAGCGGACGGGCCCGCGACTGTAGTAGGATACAGATGATACCATTGATTTTTGCTTCATTAACGATTGATTTTTTACACAGAAACATCAAAACAAGACGATAAACCAAATTAATTTATCAACTTAATTCTAATTATTTTAATTATTAAAGTTTCGAACGAGAGGGTAAACTTTGTCCAAGTTTAGAATCAAATTTCCTAATTAAATCAGCCCCGCTTTGCATTCGTTAATGATTTATCGATTTTATATTAATTTTCAATGTTTAACGAGGAAAAAATTTCATTTATCGCAAAAATTTTCAATTTAAAAAATATGAAAATGATCATTGTTGTAGGGAAGATAGCAGTTTTCTCTTGTGGGAAGTCCGATGAAAATAAGTGTTTACATTCCACAAAAATTAATATTTAATGTAAACGTTTAACTCGATACATCGATAAAGGTTTTCTGCTTCCAGTAACATCGTCGTAAGAATGTTTACGCATTTTTATAATCCTTTTCGAACATTTCTTGCCGTCATACTGCACAAAACGATTAAAAGCAACGTTTTAACTACAGTAAGTAGCCGAAAGTCACCTTTGCAATACAAAAACTATACATAACCGGTTAAAATGTATCGTTAACACACAAAAACGACTTAAGCATTCCTTAATTAATAATATTTCCGAAAGTAGAAACGACTGTTAGTTATCAAAACACTACTTTGTTTGACAGAATACTACATTAAGAGAATTATCAACAATATTGCTTGCGAGACCAAGCATTCCTCCCTTAAACTTAAAAAAGATCGAAAGTTCAAAATGTTAAACATTTAAAATATTTTTGCCTCCGAAACGTCGTTCTTTGATCTAATCTCGAAAGAACACCGAGTTCTTGCATTCGACTCGCATTGGTAATGCTCTCTCGTACTTCACGATCCTGATCTACAGCTTTCGGGCATAGCTTATGAATTTTTGAATAAATTTGCATTCAAAATTACACTTTCGAGATGATTATCTATTGTTTTCTTGTAAGCTCTTCGGTTAATTCGTAAAAATTTGCAGAAAAAGCCGTAGAAACTTTAACGTTTACGTGCGATTTGCTTCTTCAATCCGGTTTCGTTCTCTCACACTAGGCAATTGATATATAGCATTAGAAGTAAATCATCGAGGAAAACGTGACATTCTTAGGCTCCAAGAAAGTCCTAAATTTATCAACACTAAAACAAACATTATTAGCTAACGTAGGATTGTACAAGACTCGGTTAACCGAAAATAACACTTTTGAAAACTCTACACAGAAACTTAATTAGTACACGATACTGTCTACAGTTTTTAAACATAATTGCGGTATTTATTAACAGTAATTTATTCATTTTTTATAAATAATTTGGATCGTTCCCGCTCTGCCGATGGCCCACTCTCTTGTACATTAAAAATTACTCACAATGGACAAAATAGTCAAAAATACAGTCCGTAGGCGATACCAATAATATAAAGAGCGACTTTTTCTTCAAATTGTATTTACATTGAGATGGCCGAGTCTCTATATTACCTAATTAATTAGTCGTTTTTCTTTTTAGGAAATCCTCGCAGGAAGTCAGAAAGTCGAATGACCTTCGAAGAAATCTGTTTTCCCGTTCATAAATACGTTGCTATCAACAAACTTATTTGTAGTTTATCTAATACTGTGAATAAAATTATACTTACGAGTATGAGGGCGGCAATGTATCGACTTTACTGATTTACTATAGCCGGGTACAGGAATAATTACAATGTCACACTTTAGTTGCCTTTACCGCGAGCTGAATAGGCAACTACATTTACAGGTAAGTTATTCCGCTGCACCGTTCCCACTTTTCTGATGTATTTACTTTTATAAATAAATAAGTTTTCCGTGATTCTCAAACGAGTATGTCATTGTTAATACTTAATTAATAATAACACGCGCATCACCAATATTATAAAAATTGTTTATCGAGATGATTTCACTATTTACATTTTACCCGCCTTCGACAGAAGTTCTTCAAAGTCCGAGTTAAGAGGTGAAATACGTGTAGTTTCCGCTGTTGAGAAATACAAAATCCACATCTCTTGTTGTTGTAGAAAGTCGTCACCGGATACTTTTGCCGACGAATAAGAGATTGATGACGAACGAATGTAATTATTTTTGAATTTAGCGAACGGAAAAGAGATTTTGGCCATTTTGTCTTATCGTTAGCTTATTGTTACTTTGACGATACTACAAATTATTCTGCATTTGCAGCCAGACGGCTAAGCAGTAAAATGCCAGCTTATCGTTGTAGAGAATGCAAATTCAAATTCCATTTAGATTCCCATAACTTTAATAAATATTACTACTGGAGCATCTTTTTCCATTCCTCCTTCATTTTGGCCATTCCGTTATGGTTTAAAATCTTTAGACTCATTAGGAATGAGTGTAATTGTGGCCGGCCGCGTGCCGTAACGCGTTTTTAATCAATTATTACCTATTATAGGTACAACTGAGACGGAAACGCGAGAATATTGAGTATGTCATGTTGCTTCACGTTTTAGCCAATCCTTTTGAATCCCCACAGGCTCTCTAACAAGTAAAAGAGAATTCCTCGTTGAATAAGAATCGAATCTGGACTCTTTAGTCGGAACCGCGACAAGATTTTGTATTGCCGCTTACTTTTTACTTAAATTTTGTTTAATTCTAGCAAATCGACTGCGAAACGACAAAAGCCAATTTTAAAAATCCAAATTTGAGATTTAGAGACAGATTATTATTCTCAAAAATCGTGTACATCTGCGGACAAATGGAGATTCGATAATAAATTCCGCCGACGAATTATGAAATTATTACACGATTTAACTATCAAACGGACGAATTAATTTTAATTATATGTATAGCGTGTTATATAAAGCATCAAGATTTACTAAAGTTGAAAAATATTTAATTATTTAAAATTTAAAATTTATTTTTTCAAAAAAATTAATAGCTTTAATTTATTAATATTATATTAAATATAGGCCTATACAAATAAGATTATAAATTTAACAATTAGGCAATTTTATTAAAAATTAGATTATTTAATACTGTATAAAGACTAATTTACGTTAGCACAATTTGTCCACCAGAGGGACGAGCGAACGTTGAGTCTAGTCACGTGATCGAAAAAATTTACTAAAGTAACGAATGTTTTATTTTTTTTTAATTTGTTGAAGCTATAAAACCGAAAAAGCTACTAAAAAGTATTTAAAAAGAATAAAATTTAGCAAAATTTAAATGTCGAAAAGCCAATGTTTGAACTTCGCCCTCTAGTTTCGTTATTAGTAACTTAAAGATTAAAAAAGCGAAAATACATTTTTTGTTTTTTTAGAACTCAAAACTTTTGAATTAAAAAAAATAATTGTATTTTAAAAATGAAGCTATTTTTATTTAAATAAAATGTCTGTAAACAATAATTTAACATTGTCTTCTTATTTTTCTCGAGCCGAATACGAAACACGATCGATGATTGGTGTATTTTCTACTTAAGCAGTATCACGTCTTCTGATTAGTCAAAAAGAGCACGTGTGTTTTAGGCGGACTAAAGGAAACGACGGTTGTGTTAAAGGTGACATTTATGGTCGTCGTCGACGCTTTACTAGGATTTTGCGTGTTAAGAGGGGTAATTTTGTAGGCGAGTTTTAATGAAAATACACATTGTTTTATATATTTCTAGTGGTCTTGTGTTAAAAGTGAGGTCACGTGTTTGAAGCCCTGGAGAATGGAGAATTTTAGCGGGAATTTTACATCAAAATAGAACACGGGTCTACAAAAACACAATAATAAACATAATTATTTTTATACCGTAAAAGTACTTACAATTCGTTTCACCAGGTTCGAATGTGTTTATAATTAGGATTTTCGAGTTAAAATGCAAAATATAAATGAAAACTATTCATTAGTTATGTTTACGTATTCGTTAGCTACGCTTTGGACTTGAAATTAGTTTCGTTTATATAATTTATCTTCCAAATTCGGTATTGTTTTTGGTGTTAAATATGACAACCTTGAAGTTCTGTCGAATGCTTACGGTATTTAGAGATAATCGTCAGTTTCTGTAACGTTGTAAGTTTGGTGGGTTTGTTGTCGCATTGCTGTTTTGATGTAAATTCTTTGTAATTGTCGATCGAATTAATACATTTTTGATGGTGGGCCGAGTTAAAATGACCCGTCTTATCTTTCTCGTCTTTACGCTTTTCAATTTTGCACGGTTTGGTTTATGTCTTTCTGCATTTGCCTCCGACCGTGCCAATCCCGATTTGTGATTTTATTGGCACGGTTGCGACATTAGTTAAGTTAATTTATCTAGTTTTCCGACGGACGAATTGTAAGTATCCGAGAGATTGCGTTCTACGAATTATTGCTCGGATAACGTGTAAAAGTTTTTGTCGCGTACTATTATGGTTTTATTTATCGTCGTCGCATTTAATTTAATAATTATGCGTATTAATTATTTAGATTCGAATAAACATGGAATCTGTGTCGACGCCGGGAGAAAACGAAGAGAGGTCGTACTGCATCCAGAGGGTTCCTCTCGTGTTTCCGTGCAAGGCGTATCCTGCCCAATTGGCAATTATGGATAAAGTAAGTATTTTGTGTATCTTTGAGTTTCAGAAGAAAATTAAGAGGGCCTACGTCCAATTGTTTTTAATCGCCAAAATGCTATTATTTTGATATATTTTGAAATAGCACGGTTGGGAAAGGTAAAAAATAGAATTGGTAGCACCGAATCCACGGATCCAGAGCTCTTGATTCAATTTTTGGAGGCAAATATTCCGCTGGGAAAGGGAGAGGTTTTAATCGCTCGTGAGATCGAGTTGTATTTTTTGCATCTTGGATATTTCTCTCGGTATATTGTAATATACTTTTTTTTTAATTGGATGTTCGTCATTTTCCCTTACGGGGATCAGAGTCATCCTTGTCCCGCTATTGCACAAGGAGAACGTTTCATTTATTATTATACCAAATAAACAAACTTACAATTATCATACAAAAGAAATATTAAACGCTTAGGCTATGTACATATTATTTGTCTAGCTTTGACAAGACACTACCGGTTACCTACTGGCAGATATGTGGGGGAGATAGCTTTCTCCCCGTTAACATGAGTATTCTTCTCGCGAACGACACTAGTTCATCCGCAAATTTTCTGTCTCTTATTAAATTGTAAAGTTCTAGAGTCCAAGTGTTGGTATTCAGTTGGTGTAGACTAGAGAGTTCCGTTCTTTCTCATATTTATAACAGTTAGGAGTAAGTGACATATATTCTGTGTTTCCTCTCCACAGTCGCAAGTATCTATCTGACACTTCCCAATTTTCTTGAGATATTTGTAGCTATTGCTGTGACCTGTGTAAATTTCACTAGTGATATAGTTGATCTGGAGCCAACTTAGGTCTTTGATTTGCTCTTCTATACTTGGCAAGAGCCAAAATGTATGCCTTCCTTTCTCTGAGCAAGACCACCCATTTTGCCATTCTGTTACAGTTTCATCTCTTATCAGTCTCTTAATACCCGAAATTGGGATTTTATTGTGAGTCACCACCGTCGTGCGCGCTGCCTCTTTAGCTAAGAGGTCAGCATGCTCATTTCCTTTTATTCCGCTGTGGAGTCTTATCCATCTCATTTTTATATTGATGTCACTCTGATTTATCATTATTTTAATATTGAGAGCTGTCATATTGGTGTCAGCGAAATGCTGCAAAGTATTTAATGCTGATTTACTGTCTGTATTGACAATAATTAGGCCAGATATCTGTGCTGTTATCACCCATTCCATCACCATTTTTATAGCGTGCAGTTCAGCCTGGTAAACTGAACATGTCATTCAGTCTGTTGCTCAGTATACAGCAGTATTTCTCAACCTTTTTTGTGCTATGCCCCACCTAAGCCTTTCTAAAATTCTTATGTTCCCCCTAACATATACAGCATCTATACAGTTAACTCAAACTCTGGACGAGTCCATTTTCGAATTGCCCCCGTGGGGCGTGGGCACCACGTTGGGAAACACTGGTATACAGGGTGTATCAGAATGATGTTTTAAAACTTTGGGGGATTGTAGAGGATGAAATTTTGAATGTTTTGATATAAAGAACCTATAGCTGGAAATGTGATATAAAGTGTCTACAGCGGTAGGAAGTGTTTGACCGCCCATCACTTTGGTAGCTACCCTTCCATCCATTGATGTCATGTTATTGCTGTGGATGGAAGACTGTAAACACACAACTACAGTGGTCTAACTGAGCCTATGTACAGGATGTTGTGTGCAGCATTTAATACCATCAAAGGGGAGCGTGGCATCTTACTGAGAGTCAGACAAAACATGGTTTGTCGTTGCACATTATTTAATGAAGTTGGTGGTCGTCACATTGAACAATTTACTCTAAAGTAGTGCATCCAATGATTCGATGTACAGTTTGATTGTACTCTACTGTTTTTTCAATAAAACTTGTCATAAATACTGTATTCTGCTGTTTAGTTCAGCATACAGACCGCATAGAACATGCTAAGTGCTGTAGAAATTTTATATCACATTTCCGGCTATAGGTTCCTTATATCAAAACGTTCAAAATTTCATCCTCTACAATCCCCCAAATTTTTAAAACATTATTCTGATACACCCTGTATATTTCTCTGCCTTCATATATTGCTGTAAAGGCAGCACCAATGCATCCGTCTACCTTCGAGCCATCTGTGAAGATTTCTATTTTGCCTTCTTCCTCATCATCTGCTATTATTATGGCTTTATGTTTGTATGTCATCAATAACATTACTGAGCTTGGTTTTATGTCTATATTCGCCTCTGTGTATTCTCTTCCTGCTGTCTGAATATTACACCCCTTTCTACAGAAGTAGAGGGTTGCCTTTTAGTATTAGATCAATTGGTGGTATACTGATGCACTTCAGATGGTGGTAGACCTGAAGTGCATCAGTGGATGTAGTTTGAAATGCTTTTGTTAATTGTAGAAGCACACATCTTTGTTCACTATGAAGTTTCTTTTGTATTACTTTCTTTTCAGTTGCAGGATACCAGGCAGCTGTTGTATAAGTCAGTCTCGGTATGAACGCTCCCTTATATATAATTTCCATGGACTCTCTGCTCAGGCCCAAGTAGACTTGGCTACCCTTGCAAGGGAATTAAACATATTTACACATCTATTTCTTACAGTTATGATATGAGGGAGCCAAGTTAGTCTATTGTCTAACATCACCACAAGGTATTGGAGCTGTTTTTCAACCTTGATGTTTTCATTACCCATCTTGATCGTTTGGGTTCTTTTATAGAGATCAAGTGTTTGGCCCCTTGTGAAAATTATTACCTTGGTTTTCTTGGCGTTAAAGGAGAGCTTAAGATCTATCTCTCTTACTTTCCCAAGTAAATGGTTTCCAATTTGCTCAATCTCTCTGCGGGCGTTCGCTCCATATATTAACATGGTATCATCCACATAGGCCAGTTCAAGAATGCCTGGCCCTTTCTCAATCCTTAGGAACTACTGATGTAATGAATATTCAGTTACTATTTGGTATTCGGCATATTTTTCACTATTCAGCCAAATACCGAATACCTAAAAACAGGAGTAAGAAATAACAAAAACACAGTAAATTAATAATTTTGGTATTTAGATTTAATATTATCTGGTTATTGTTGTTTGTTTATATTTATTTATAACTTATAACATGCATAAAATAAAAAAGAACATAATATTAGTCACTTGTATTCATAATTTATAATTACAAAGATCAGCACATGTACACACCTATTTGTTCGAGAATCATCGCACATCTGAGGGTCTGACCCTGCCTATCCTTCTTTTTAAGCGCTCAAAAAATCACTCTCAAAAAAACGCACTACATAACAATGGGGCTCCCTGCCCAGTATATTGTAAAATAGTAAGGACGTAAAAGTCAAAATAAATAAAAGTAAATAAAATAAAATTATAAAACTGGAAAGCTGAAAATTATCATGTCCTATGCCGTAATCATTAATGAGTTTAATAATCGAATCCATATTTTGAAGAGGTGAGTTTTTGTTTGTTTTATTGCTTCGCCATTTTTGCCAGAAAACTAAACATATAAATACTCCAAAATTCTGAGTTGTGGAGTAGTTATGTTCTCTAATTATCATATCTCGGTGGGCCCGTTTGATTCTTGCATCTCGATTGTGGGACCGCCGAGATAAAGATGTACGGGTCAAGATATCGGCCTTGCTAATGGATTCTGGTCAAAATAAAGATCAAAAACGTTTCTACTAAAGAATTCTGTCCTTGGTTTTCGTGATTAGCTATGTTTTTTATTTTGATTTGTTTTAGTTTAGTTAAATGGAACTTCTGTACTTATAAATTTTGAGGTATTTTATGATTTAATTAAGCATTTATCATGTTTATTATTATAGATAATAAAAGGATTAACCAGAAGACAGAATTGCTTAATAGAATCTCCTACGGGGACAGGAAAGAGTTTGGCTTTGCTAATATCGTGTTTGGCCTGGCAGAGAAGTTTAGCTAATGGTAAAGATTTATTTATACTTAACATTAGATTCTGTAAGACATAAAATATTCAATTGTTATTTTGAGGATATTAATGTAAATTCACATCTGTATTGTCTGTCTTCTTTCAATTCTTTGTTCTGTACGTTTGAGGTTGATTTTGTATGTACTCGTCCACTATCAATTTTCTTGTTTTCATTTATGCTATATTTTATTGTATCTTCTGCACTAGATTTTAATCACATTTTCTTGGATGTTTTTTTTTTATCTCCCTTTTTATAATTGAACTTATGGGTATAGTTTAGATCTTCTAATCACACACTATTAATCTCCAATTTTGTTATTTATTCTTAACTGGCACACAATACTTTCCATATTTTTATTATTGATGACTCTCGACTTTATCACTTGACAATCTCATTTGTGTATAGCTTCTGCAAGCGCCCCATTCTATTGTTTATTATTGTTGTCACTTGCATTTATAACATTGTTCTCAGTGTGTGTAAATGGTGAATCCGTAACAAGTATTTTTGTTAGATGAATAAAAAAGAGTTAAAGAATTGCAAATTTGTTCAAAGTGCTTTCTTGTATTACATCTCAATAATAGAAATGGCTATTTTCCTGCATTCTGAATTCCATAAATGACAATAATCCACTTCCGTATTAATGTTATACACTTTTAAAGTACATGACTCCAGACAGTTACAGAATGGTGTCCATATTAGCATTGTTTGTTTAATTCCATGTAAAATTAATAATAAAATAAGTAATTTGTTTACATAATAAAATAAGTAATTAGAACATTTTGATAATTACTGATTCTAACAGTTTTATGCATTTATTATTGCTTTGAAAGCAATAGAAAAGAGCCAAGATGAGTTGCATAGTCTCAAACAATTCAAAAGCCAAAGAATTGGCTAAAGATTTTTCTTTGTTTATTCAAAAACAATGTTGTTATATTAATTATTTTTACCTCTGTCTTTACTTTTTTATATTCCTTTGTATATACTGTCTACTTGGACCTGTTAATAAACAAGGTCCTAGTAGACAGTATATACAAAGAAATGTAAATGTCATTATATTTTTAGAAAGAATCTTAGAATATTAAATATTTTATTTTTCTTTTCTAATATTTATTACATAACATAGAACTTTCTTATTTTATATTTATAATTAATTATCAATTTCAGAGAATACCAGTGAAGATTTGGGTAATTCGACTGTCGAAACTGCTACTCCATCAAACTTGGGTTAGTACTTTCAAAATGATATGTTTAAGTATATAGAAAAGTTTCTTATGGTACTTTTAAGAAAATATTTCTTAAACCATTAATTTTGTGACTGTCATCTTTCATATTCGGAACCAATTTTTGATTTTAAAGAAAAATTTTTTTGATTGGAAAGGTTCTGCATGCAGCATGGATTCATTATGATTGCATTTACTACACATCTTATATTTTTTACAATGAAAGAAACATTACAAGGTGATGGTTTCCAGTTGGCAAGTTGGTTAATACTCGACTTTTCTAACTTAAAATATAGTGGAAACAGCATGTTCCATATTAATAAAAAGAAACTAGTTACATTAGAATAAAATTGTTATTTATGTTGATGAATACATTAAATTACAAATACAGTAGAAGTCTTAATTACTTGTCCAAGTCCTCCTTATTATACAAATATGCTCAACAGTCTTCATTCTTGAGCACTTTGTAGTCTGAATTAAAGTGAATATTTATGTACAGCCTTTTTAATGATTGTCTATGCAACACATTTGATAACAAAGCAGCTTCTAGGAGATAAAATGTATAAGAAAAATTAATTAAAAACATTAAATATTGCTTTAACTAATTTAATTAATCTCTTTTGTAATGTGTTAATAAGTAATTGACTTACATTACAACAAATGAATTAAAATTTAATGTGGCATTGTTAAAACTATACACAATTTCCTGGACCAAAACAATATAATGTTTATATCTACAGAATGCTCTGGATCCCTTCACCTCCCTCTTGTTGAGTGTTGGTATCTTGTAGATTACCAAACAGGGATGCTTCATCCATGTCAAGCAGGATTTACTTTGAAAGGTAGCAGAGTAATAAATGCTTCCTCCAATACAGATGGAGTCATCTTACAAGTTAGTCTTATTGACATCCAATTCTTGCTTCTACAGACTTAAATATGCTATCTATAGAAAATTTTACCTTGTTTTGGGATCTGTAATTAATGAAATTCTGGAAATTCTAAGTTTTTCTACACTAATATTGGTTCCAGGTTTTTAATCAAATAATAGGTTATAAAAATCTTGGATGTTTGAAGGATTGGAAAAATGTTTGTCAAATAGAGTGGAAAAAAGCTTGTTATTCTTTGGCTTTTCCAAATGATGCGTTTTTATGACAACAAGAGCTAATTATAGCAACGTATGCAGGTTATGTATAACAATCACTGACAAGGAGAGGGCCAGATGTTTGGGTCTCTGATTCAAATGAAACTTGGTGATCACATAGCCTTAAACACAGAAAGCTCCTAATAGGACTCTCTAATATCTCTAGCTTTTCTGAAACTTGAGCATTTAGGTTATGTCTTTGGAAGTTTCACTTATCCTTGTAATGGCCAGAGCCAAATGGATAAGACACTAGGCATTGGGCTTACAAGATGTAGGTACAAACCTTCACAATTTTAATTTTTTTTTATTTTAACAAAATTATTCTATTATTTTACTGTATAAGTAGCATTATTATTCCTCACGAGATTAAAAAGTGACATTAGAGAGGTTGAGGCGCACGTTTTAAACGTGTAAACGTGTACGTGTGACGTTCGGCGCCGCTTTCCCGTAAGCCTAAAAGTTTGACGATGGTGTTTGGAATGTCGAGCGTGATTCCACCAACTATCCAAACACCATTGTCAAACTTTTAGGCTTACGGGAAAGCGGCGCCGAACGTCACACGTACACGTTTACACGTTTAAAACGTGCGCCTCAACCTCTCTATTATTTCCTTTTTAGCAAAAATGAAGTTTCTGTATATTTAACTCTTGTATGTGGCTAAATGAAATTTTTATTTTCATTTTCACTAAACAGGAAATGACGTACATTTTTTTAATCTCTTATTTTGTAAACTTTAAACATGATAATACATGAACACAATAATATAAGATTTTTGTAAGATATTAGAGATTGTTTAATAATAATTTCATTAGTTAAATTGTTTTATTGTAATTTTATTTTAGTATTATCTTCTTTATATTGAATAAAATAATATATTTCAGTGGTAAACAAAAGTATTTATAAACTGGAAGAGGATGTCGACAACGATTTTCAACCTCAAAAAAGATATCGTTCTACCAATGTAAGTGAAATCTTCAATAAATTAGTGTTACATTATCATTTAAGTTTTGTTCTTAAAAACTTTTGACCACTTTAAATACTCTTAAAAAAAATGTAAATCTAAAAATAAAATATTTTTAGAAAAATTAGCAAGTAATATAATACTCATTCTATTCAATTTCGAGAGATTTTTTATGGCAAAGTAAACCAAATAACAATCAGATACTAATTATTCATTTTTATTTTACATTTTTTAAGAAATTACTGCATCGATCCCATTGCTTTAAAATTTTTGACTTTAAATACTGTTTTACTCAACATATCAAATTTGACACTTCTCCAAGTCTGACAATATACTTAAATAACCAAAAGAAACACACTTTAAACAAGTTCAATGTCTCCAACACCCAAAGGATTTCCAACAGAGGTCAAGCACCTAACTCCAGGCGCACAGTGATAGAGTATAACTAGCATTTACATACTTTATATGAGCTGTTGATTTTGAAAGTGGGGCAAGTCCGTTTTGTGAAAAATATAGTTAAAGCTAATTTTTATTACAAATTAACATAAATTTTGTTTTTAATCAATTCACAATAAATATCTTTTAATATCAGTATAAATTTGTTACTAATAATTTATATCGTCAATGATATTTACAGTGAGTTGATTTTGAAAGTGAGGCAAGTCCACTCTAAAGAAAAACATGAAGATATGATGGATTTATTATCCTTTGTACCACCCATTTGTCACGAATACTTTAAAAATCTGCACCATCTAAACTAAAAAATATAATTATATGCATGCAACTTATTACTAAATAGTTTTTATTATTTTCTCCACTTTTTCCTATAAAATTAAATTTATTTTTTGTTTCATTGTAGCTTCTCAAAAAAGCATGAAATGTTGAAATAAAATAAATTAGTAAATAAATAAAATACAGTCGACTCCCCCTATAAGATCATAGATACGTTCCATTCTTTAGGAATCCGATTTCTTACTAGTCCTTCCAATCACAGCCCGACACGTGTGAAGTTTACGCACTACGGCTGATTGAAAGGTTTTCTTCCATAAAATTCATCGATTCTAGACTAATCTGACTCAACATTTCCAAAATACGTATATTTTTTTTGGGAATAATCCGTATAAACTACGCTATAAACAAAAAATTGTAAGATTACTTACCAAATGTGCACAATTCGACATCGCCATTGCTCAAGCTTGTTTTCGTCGCGAAGCAGCACACCAAACCGTGGCCGATTTTTGATAACTTATTTTTCTGCGAAAACGTTGTTGAACTTTGGAGACATCATTAATATAAATAATTTTTATCGCCATTGAATAAGAAATGTTTCTTTCACAAGAAAAGTATAAAGTTACAGTGCTGTATTAGACTTACGGTACCTAATTTACTTACTGTACAGACGATAGTTAGCGTAAAATCTCCGTAGTGTGGTTCTACGTGGCGGAAAATATATATATATATATATATATAATTATAATAAAGTTACAATAAATTAAGTTAATATATAATTATATATACAGTACTTAATTTATATATAATTAATATATAATTATATGTACAGTACCTAATTTATATATAATTATATGTACAGATGAAACTAAACTGAATTTACCCGCCTAAATGTCCATAGCGTGGCGCTATGGACGGCGGGAAAGTAGTTCAGCTGCCCGATGACATTTTACGTAATTATAGGAGTTTTTTTACCATTTTTTACAGATACTGTCGCAATTTTTTCACAGTTTTATAGGAATCGTAATTATAGGAACCTTAATTATAGGGGGGTCTACTGTATTCAATTTTTTGTTGTTATAACTATATTCCATTCAAAGAGAAGCAACGTTTTCAACAAATCATTGCTTTTGAAAGTGAGGCAAGTCCATTGGCGTATATCAAAACCATGATTTTTTTTCACCTAATGCGGATAACCATTATTGCTTATTAAATTTACTTGAAATAAAACCAAAAAAATATAAAACAAGTCCATTATTTCTTACAAATATTTTTAAACTCATTCAAATGCAAACCATTAAATATCCAGCAAAAACATAAAATGGACTTGCCCCACTTTCAAAATCAATGGCTCACATAAAGAAATTGCTTGCAATACAAGTATCAAGCTTGCATACAAGAGGATCTCCATGATAGACAGGTCATTATGCAATGAGAAGGACAAGGCTGATAAATTTAGAGCCCCAGGGATGTACAGTGTTCCTATGAAGGATAACAGATTCCAAAGGAATTTAGTATTCATTGGGTTCACTAAATGCTCAATACAAAAAAAAAACGGGTGCAAGAACATTGTTACAACATTTTGAACAAAAGGCACCTGTCCACTTTTGCCACTGAGTCTGATGTGAGAGCTGATCTCCAAAATGCCATGTTAATAAGAAAATCGTTTCAAAGATTATATTAGAGCTCTAGAAGCATTGGAAATATACAAGGCCAACCTGACTGGCAAATGTATTAACTTTAAGGACAGTAAAACAGTCTTATATGCATGGCAGTGTGCTTTTACGAGAAAACTGGGGAGTGCCTATAGTGTTATAATTTAACTATATAGTGTTATGATTTTGTTCCAGTTTTTAAAAATAATACTGTATTTTTAAAAGTTGTTTTGTGCATTCCAATTTGGAATTTCATTAATTTAATGATCTGAGGCAGACCTTGGTCAAGGTCGAAAACGTTTGTCAAAAGTTTTTTACATTAAAAGAATTTTTGTTACTGGACTTTAAGGGTTGTTTAAAGTGTGTTTGTGATTTGTTCCATTATTAAGAAGGTAATTTTAATAACTAAAAGAATTTTTTTGATGATCAGCATTTTTAAATTGTTTAGGAACTTCCTTAAAAGTATTATTTAATCACCAGAGTCTCTGGAATATGCATTATTACAAAAATATTAGATGAGGCATGAGGTAAATAAAGATAAAGCTATTGTTTTTTTTTTTTTTTTTAGATTTCAAGCTTAATTACATACTCATTAATGTAACAAATATTGATATGCTGGCCACAGATCAAACCTTGCTATTAGAATTAAATAAGCTTTGGTTTTAGTCTCTCCAATTATATAAACATCATGTAAAGTGTTGGATACTCTGCTCTTAATCTGGTTTAGTTCATTAGAAGAGTATCCATAGAAGATTCTTCAGTACAAATCTCAAATTGTGTTCTTGTCAGAAATCTTTAGTCTGGTGAAATGGAGTAGCAAAGCATACAAAACTCCTGATTTGCATTTGAATGAACTTACGTACAGCATTCAAATGAAGCTGTGCAGAAGTTAATGTATCATATGAACCAGCTTCTTTAATGTCTTTGACAGTGATTGATGATTGTTGTTGTACTGATTCATTTACTATTATGATTATTAGTTTTGTCTTTCTTAAAATAAAATATCTTTTCCTGATATAATTTATTATTCATTCAAGTTTAATTTAGTAAAAATAAAGTACCATTATTAATTTAATATGAACAAATTGCTTGTACACTGACAAAAGTCTGCTTCTCACTTGTCGAAAAATATTACAGAAGCTATTGTGGATGCAAAAGCTTTGTTGCTGTGACATTTCTTTGTTTGAAAATAAACTTTAGATGTTTTAATCATTCTTGCTTTCTGTTGATTATTGATTGGGCTGAATTTTCAAATTGCAGACCTATAGATTTCCACTATTGTCCATATCTCCTTAATCTCAAGAACAGAGTTATATAGATGAAATCGAGACCAGATATGGAATGCTATATGGAATGCTTAGGGATGAACCCAATGTACAAACTTTTGGGCCGTATTCTTGTCGTCGTCTCTCGTCTCTCACAAGCCGGTTGCTGGTTGGCTAATCATTTGTTTGTGTCTCGAGAGAACATCGCATCTCTTCAAACATGTTTCTGGATAACTTTTTCTCTTGAAGATTCTTTCGTTTCTCACAGACGAGCAGATAGTTATCTTTCGACCCCTTTCGTCTTTTGCGTCAATTTCATTATATCCAATATGGACAACTGGATGCTACTCGCGCTGTACAATCATATTAGAGAACATTCTCTATCTTGGGAAAGAATATTTTGAGAGAGAAAATGCTTCTGATTTTTTTCCAGTGTCTATTTAGAAATGCCACTGATTCCTTTTTTTTTTTTTTTTTTAATTATCCTACATCAATTACTGAACTATTGAATATGATGTTAATCTTACTTAGATAGCTAAGGAGAAATTAGACGGTAATATTTCGAAAAATATCTAAGTATGCACACTTTTGTAACATAGGTTATTAAAATTTTTATTTGTTATTAGACAAATTGACATTACAATCTGTAAAAATGCTATAAAACAAAAAACATAACTTCAAAAATTTTAACACACCTGAACCATTTACGGTGTGATCATGCAAAAGATTGGTAAACAAATGTTTTCGAACCCCTTCTGAGCTCTGCTTCAGGTTCCAATCAGTTTCTATAAAGACGTTTGATATCCGTTCGTAAAAAAATTTTTGTCATTTCGGTGTGATAAATAGTGAATTTACTTTGTAAACATAACTTCATCAAAATTATGTGCTTTATTTGAACGTGCGCTTTCCTTGCCACATGATCAATAATTATGTACTCTGCATTTTCGAAAATTTTACAATTTCATTGATTAAAATTCTATAACGTGTTGTACATGCGGATAACCCAAACATGTATGATTACCTAGTAGAGTCGTGACGTCATCAACAAAGGCAAGATCATTAAAAGTGACCAGAATTGTCACTGTCTCCGATGAGACAAATTTTGTCTCTCATTTTGACGTCATTCGTCCTTGAAAGAAGAGATGAGTGACCAGAATACCGGCCCCAGGTCTGGAGTAACATGATTTTTAAATTAAAATATCAAAAAGAATTGCACCCTGCCAATGTAACAATGTCACAATAAGTAATTGCTATTTTATTTCTGATATGGCAACAGAAAAGTTTAAAATATTTTCTAATTTTGTTTTTTTAGATGGTTACTCTGTTACTCTTGTAGAAAAGTAATTCAGAGATTGGAGTATTTGCTGTAAGTGGAAACAGAGCTTTACAATTTGAGTGTCTTTGTTTTGGTTTGGTATTTTGCCATTCCAGTCCATCGGGTCAATTTAACAGGCAGTTGGCAAAATTTGTGGGAGGCACGCTTATTAAAAAGGTTTCGAAGAGCACTGTCAAGATTACAATAGTGGAACTTAGATTTTTATTATTGGCAGTTATACGAATTTCATTAAGCTTGCTTTCGTCGTGGAGCAGCGCACCAAACAGCGGGCAGGCACGTTTTCTGATAAGTAATATTTTTGCGAAAAATTCGTTGAACTTTGGAGACATCATTAATAGAAATAATTTTTATGGCCGTTGAATAAGAAATGTTTTTTTCACAAGAAATCTATAAAATTACAGTACTGTATTAGACTTACAGTAACTAATTTGCATACTGTACAGACAATAGTAAACTCAACTTACCCGCCTAAACTCTCCGTAGCGTGTAAGAAGTTTGGCTGCTCGTCCACTATTGGTCCAGATTCGACCAATCCTGTCGCGACACAAGTCAGCGATGACGTTTTACCGCATTTTACGAGTCTCTTTTAGCGTCTTTATACGAATACGGTCGCAATTTTTTTGCTGTGATATACGAATCCGCATTATAGGGGGTCGACTGTATTTATAGTGGAAATTTAGCAAATTTTATTATATTATAGGGGGTACAACTTATAATTATTTCTGTCTTAGGGGTATGCAATTAAAAAAAGTTTGGAGATCACTGGACTAGACAACAGACAACAATATTTATGGTTAGAATAAGGGGCACCTACTGTACATATTTATTTTATATATATTGTATTTTTATATGTAAATAACTTATATTAAAATATTTTAGGTGCAGAATGGTACAATGGATAGTAGTGAAGTATGTATAGCACTAGAAGTCAAAACGACGAAGGGAACGAAAAGTTATTTATTGAATACTTCTGATTCGTCATCTGTATTGCTTCATAAACCACAGAGAGTGGCAATTTTGCCTCTGTATGATTTTTCTTGTGTAGAGTTGGACAGGAAAGGAGAAAATGGTTCACCAGAGATAGACGAAAACCTATTAAAAGCCCGCATGACGTTTGACGATGGAACGTTTTGCGAATATTTGCTAACTTGTTTGGAAAGTTATAAAGATGTCAGAACAAAATTAGTTGTAATAAATGCCGAAAATGGCTTTGAAAATGACTTTTCGGATTTTTCTTCTTTACAATCGTCACCGGAAGACCCAAATTCATCTCAAAAGAAAAAGTGAGATTACTGTTATTCGTAACAGATTTTGAACTTTGCATTATCCTCTAAACAAAGTTGTTTTGATAAATTACAATGTCAGTTATAAGTTACACAATTCTACATTTATAATTATATAAAACTTATCTTTCAGAATTCCTCAAATATACTTTGGTACGAGAACTCACAAGCAAATAACTCAAATTGTTCAGGAATTAAGGAAAACAATTTACAAGGATGTAAGGTACTATATACATATTTACTTTTTATTTATTCTTGAATTTTTATTATTAATAATTTAGGTTTTATTAATTATAATATCACAAAAGGAATTGTGCAGAATTAGGAAGAAACACAAATTGATAAATTATTAGCTATTAAGACAAGATTTACATACCAACAGTTGTAGGTACTATGTAATATTGGTGACTGAAGTGTAATTCCAGAGTCACTCACTGTGCTTGAATATAGTGACACACTTATGTCGTCACAGATATTGCATTAATGTTTGTGTCAATGTAATGTGATTCAATTATGTGCCATAACGTTTATTTTTTTAACTTATTTTGTGTTTTTAATGTATAAGAGTGGAGCTAACATTCAAAACATGTTTTTCACTGAGTATTACTAGATTTTGAATAACTATAAACTATATAATACTCTTAATAGTTATTAATTTGTTACTTTTCTCAAGGACTTATCAAATCACAATTATTTAATTTGAAAGTTGACCAAGAGTATTTTTTTACTTAACCAATATGTACTGTACATACTGATGAGCCCAAAATGATTAGTGATCAATCCAAAAAGGCAACATCAGTTGGGCTGACCATATATCCTTTCATGTGACAGCTACACTATAAAACTTAACTTGGTTCAACTGAAACCTAGGTGAGATCAGAATTGTTAGAATATTGGTCAACTTTACTTGAGTGAGCCAGGTCTGGAGACAGTCAGCATCTCATTTTGGACTAACTCATCTGTGTTGGCTAATTCCCTTAGAAACATAATTTTAAATGACATTTACATTGAGTAATCCTAATGCCACGAGTCCTATAAACGTTTATATTATGTGATAGACATCTTCGACATGACATTCTTTCCGATAATTTGTTTCAAAATGTCTTTCTCAATTATACTCCCATTCAGTTATACTCCCGGAGAGGATTGCTCAATTGTTTTTATTTTCAAGTTAATATAATCTTTACTGGTTAAAAAGTTCATGCCATCATTAATCTAATTACAAGCCTGTAGAATATTTCCTGCCTTGTGCAAAATTTTCAAAAGCAATCAACAAGCAAACATTAAATATTTTTTAAAACTTGCCTTTGAAATATTGTGATTCATGGATTTATAACATTATTCCATACTTTCGACCAGGGGTGTGTTTAGTTAATTGACAAGATACACAAAGTGTACAGTGAGGTATGGAAACAAGGAAAGATGCCTAAAGAATGGGCAAAATCAGTATTGGTGACAATACATAAGAAAGGCAGCATGTTAGAGTGCAAAAATTATAGAACGATTGCCCTAACAAACCACATAGTAAAAATTCTGATGATCTTAAAGGAGAGACTAAGTAGTTTGATGGAAGAACACTTAGCAGATAAACAGGTATGTTTCAGCAAAGACAGAAGTACAACACAGCAGATATTAATATTACTGCAATTAGTTGAAAAGGCAAGAAGGAAGCAGAAAAACGTCTATTCCTGCTTTGTGGACTTTCAGAAGGCATTTGACAGCATAGACCAAAAAGCCACCTCTGCAGTGCTAAAATCTTATGGAGTGGATTATAAACTAATAAACCTGCTAAGTTATATTAATTAATTTAATGATACTGCAGAAGCAGCTGTGAGATTGCATTGGCAGCTAGGAAACTGGTTCAAACCAAAAAGAGGTACCAGACAGGGAGATCCTATATCCTCAACTATCTTCATAAGTCTGCTAGAAAGAGTCATGGATAAGATGATGCAAGAAAGAGATGCAGGGAGGTGTAAAATTCAATAACCTGAGATTTGTAGATGACATAGTTGTCATTGAAAAAAGTGAAGAACAACTAGAGAAAACATTACATCTACTTAATAAAGAAGGAAAAAGATATGGACTGACTATCAATAGCAAAAAACTAAGACAATAATATTTGATGATGATGATATGACAAAAAACATCCTAGTAGATGGGAAATTGAAAATGTAGAGAGCTTTGAATATTTAGGAAGCAAACTAACCTATAATCTGGATTGCAAAAAAGAAATAGAGATTAGAATTTCCAAGGCAAAAACAAATTTGAAAGCAATGGACAAAATCTGGATAAGTAAAGCAATTAGTTTGCAGACAAAATGAAAAGTATTGTACACCTGTGTGCTGTATGCCTGCGAGACATGGGTAATAAGATATGGAAAAAAAAATATTAGCATTTGAAAGACACTGTTACAGAAAGATCTTACAAATAGATGGATGTAGAAACCAGACATAAAAGTTCGCTGAGTGTGTAACGTTTAAAATTTGTGAAACGAACGTTTTCGGCCTCACTCAAGATTTGCTTCAGGTTAAATTGAGAATTCCAAACTTAGAATGCCTGATATCGAACAATTTCAAATGTTAAATTTTAAAATAAAATTGGAACATGGTTATTAACCATATTTATCGGTTGCAAGAGCGTGCCATCTATGTATAAATACATAGGGTATCCCATGTAAGCCTATTAATTGTAGGACCAGTATAACCGTAAATAATACACACTCATGGAGCATCAGTGACCTCTTGTTCCTTGCATACATAGCACCAGGCATATGATAATGCATTGCGTCCTTAAAGTTGATACATCTATTCACCAGGCCAGCCTTGTATAATTCAAGGGCCTCAAGGACCGTGGTGAAAAGGCTCTTTTTATCAGCCTGGCATTGGACAGGTCTGCATGAACTTCTGGGTCGATGGCATAGGTGAATAGGATGGTGGTGTATCGTGCATCATGATCATATTTGTGCTCACGGACTCTCTGTTGGATGGAACGTTTGGTGGAGCTGATGTACATCATGTCTCACCTAAACCTGTCATCCCTCATTGGGACACTGTATACACCCAGAGCCCGAGATCATCCGACTTGTCTTTTGCATTGCACAATAACATATATATAGAGGGGGACCTTTTGTAGTTGAATTTGGTGTCTGTTTTGGCTGCAATTTCTTTATACAAGGCATGAAGTTTGCATCTGGTTTCGGGGTTCCGATTCCAATCTCTGTTGTGAACTCTTTGGGTACTGTAGGTGCCATGTGTATCACATGGTCTGAAATAGGCTCATGCCAACCCACATATCAGTTCTAGACATTAAATTTTGTATATGCTTGACCTGATGCAGGCCCTGAAATGTGGCCAAAAACATTTGTTTAATAAACAGTTACTATTGGAAAGTGTGAGGAAGGTGTGAATTTTCTATGCTATGTTTTTTTTTTCTAACACGTACCATTTTTCTTTTGGTTTTACTTTATTGATCAGCCACATTTTAAAATAATATATTTACATCAAATATTACACAAATCCAAGACTATTTCTACTATGCAAGAAAATAGTGTAAAAGTGTTTGAGCTTGGCATGTTTTTATCAAGCTACTATACCCATGTGGAGTCATGAAAGAAGAATCCTCGTGTGGATATGCACTATATTGTTGATCTCCTCACCGCTGTCTCACCCTTACATCTTAAGTGAAGAATAAGATAAACCTAACTTCAGATGGAGGTCCAAAGAACATAACCAGAATGCATCCACATGGTAAGATAAATAAAATTCATAGAGACAAATAGATGTTCTTAAACCTGTCTGACAATTTGTGGTCTTGTCGAGTCGTACTCGTCAGTTACAACTTGGTTGCTTTCCTGTTCTAAAAATAATTTATAATTTGATTAAATATAAATCTGAATTTTTTATTGATGTTTTCAAATAACATATCCATTCAGTCTATTGTTATTGAGACCATCAAACAATTGTTTCATTATAAAACAAACTCAAATAAAGACTTAACATGGAGTAAGTGAACATTATGAATCCTATTTAGAGCAAAAACTCTTGACATTCGCACTGTGAGGTAAATCATTCTGTATTCTTAAAAATCCATTTAACACACTTTCCAAATATTTTTGTTATATATCTTAGTTGAACTGCAAACCTATTCATCTGTACAGTAAGTTAGATGAAATATAATCTATTGTATGGATAATATATATACTGCTCACATACATAATAATCTCTTCATTATTTAACTAAATTAAATAAAAATGAGCCAGATACAACATGCTATAAAACACCTATTTATTGTAAATTTAAACAAATTAAAACCACCCAAAGACTGCACAACTTTTGCTTCCTAAATATCATTTAATTGAAGTTACTACTTTCCTCCAATAATCATAATTATACAGTTTCTTTGGCAATTTCTAGTGATCTACAAAGTAAAAAGCTTTTGTAAGATCACCTGAAACCAAAGTCAGAACAAGAGAAATGTCTATTCACAACTATATAAAACTATTCCAAAACAGCCTTATTAGCTTCAGAGTTTATTTTAAACCACATTGATTTCCCATAGATTAAATGAGATTTACATCATCCTGAAAAAATTACTTTTTCCAATATTTTACTAAATGTGAACATAGTTATTATGGGTCTATAATTAACAATATCCTGAATATAGTCATTTTTATAAATAAGTGTGGTATTTTATACTTGCCTCAAATTTTTGATAAATAATTCTTGAAAAGACGAATAATGTGTATTATTAAATTATTTTCATACAATAATATTTCAATCTGATAATGCTAAATGCTTAATATTTAGAATAAAACAAATTTCCATTACAACAGTTTTCATTTCATGACAATAATAGAGGAATAAGTGGCATAAAAATAGTGAGGATGATAACAGAATAGAGACACGATTTAAGAATTAGAAGGAGGCAGTCAATTACAAATGTACTTAGAAATGAAAAGGGAAGAACTGACAAGCTATCAAAAGTGGGATATAAATGAGAAAAAAAGAGAGAGCAGTACAAGCAATGAAAAGCAATATATTTATAGCTTTATATTTATACAATGTAAATTGATCTACTACCCCTATTCTGGTTTCTTTTGTATGTGTGATATAAACATAAGTCCTTTAAAAACGTTTATAGTGCACAATTAAATTTTAAAAAGTTAAAATGTTAGTATTTAATACATGTGTTGGTAGATATTAGAAACAAAATTTTAAATTTAAAAATAATAGTGTTTGTAAAATGGAAAATTTAAATATTCTAAAGGTAAAACATTTAAAAGTTAGAGAATGTTATTTTAAAGTAAAATATTCTAGAACAATTGTAACAGTATATTTTGTTCTTTTTTGAGAAATTTTTAAAACATTAGTTGAAACTGAAAATGGGTCAAAGGAAGCCAGAAACTCTATGTAAAATAAAGAATTTGGTTTCCTTAAACTTGGCAGTTTGAAGTGATTGAATCTGAAATTCACTTCTATAGTACTTATTCTTTGATAATCCTCTTTTTTATTCATATGTTAAGAGGGACAATATGGGAGATAGAAAGCTTGCTCATATAGAAAATGGTGCCATCGTTCTTGACACTTATAATATACTTGCTCGCCAGGCTGCCGATACTTTGCTTGCATCTCGGAAGTTGATAGCTAATCCTTTTTGGCTGGTTTTGCAGATATGCCAGGCTTCAGTGTACCGGAGGTGCTTTTTGTCACGAACTATTTGTATCAATCTGGCTCGGTCTCATTCAGCTTTGACCTCTTGGGGGTCAGCTAAGACGTAAGTCGCCAGCACTGTGCACAGCCGTTCACTTCTTATGTTTCTCTGGTGTTCTGACAGCATTGTCAATTAAGCTTTCTCCTCCATGCTTAATCATTTCTCCTGTGATTTTGCCATATTCAGGACTCTTATTGTCTTGTATTGTATTCAACTTTTTCCCTCATAATATTTTCATTTTCAACACTTGGTGGTGATATGTTCTTTAATTCATCTACTAGATTCTCTAATACATCTGTATCAATTGTGATATCGACAACAACCAAGATGATGACATAAATAATTTCTTATACGAATGTACCAATATGAAAATCAATGCATCCAGTTTGAGGTCGCATGCCTCCATGCCAGCTACAACTGGTCTCCTAATGAAAAGGACTTAGTCACGGACAGTACCGTTTTTAGGGCATTCAGCAAATTCATCACCAAGACCAAGACTCTCACCCAGATAACCTGTTTATGTCAATGTATATTGAGCCCAACCAAATGAGCAATAACGACTTACCAGTTTCTACCGACATCAACAGTGATAACAAGGACGAGGACAATTGCTACGGTAATGGTGGTGAAAGTGATGATTCATCATTCTGGCTGTCAAAGTTTGCACTCCAACTGTGGTCTGCAACTTTCCCATCGGTAACGACCAGGACATTGTGTTGCCCATCCATCCCTGACTGTATGTGAGGTTTTTGTGCTCTCCTCACTGTTTTGGTTACTTGTTATTTTCATTGATGTTAATTGCATTCTATACTGCACTTATCCTTTGCATTATCTGACATGTAGGAACAACCAATTTTCTTTTGTGTTTAACTTCCCAACCTTTTGTATTCTCACTCCGGTGGTAGAAAGCAGTGCAGTGTTTATCCTTATGTAAATGATGCTCCTTACAGTTCAAATGTTTCGTATTGTAATACCAGCATTGCTGTGTCTATTTTGTCGTGCTCGGACTATTGCTTTGTGCATCTGCCTTTATTTCTGTTATTATTTTTGTATTTTGTTTTTACTGTATATATTGTTCTTTGTTTTCTATGTTGTAACCCATCCATTATTGTAAATATCTGTGTATTCATCCCATTTTTGTTATTTTTGTATAATTTTGGTTCTAATAAATACTGATGCAGCTCTTGAGGCTCCCTTCCCCTTCTCCTTCATTTCTACTTTCCAATCAATCTTTCTTTTTCTTTTTCTCCATCTTAAGTTCTTCCCAGCCTCCTTTCTTTTCAACCCTTAGGGCAAAGTCAGTTTACATAACAGACAGCCCTCTAATCTTTTATAACAACAACATCTGTGTCTAACATTGTATAGTTCAAAGCAGTAACTTGTCCACCTCTGTAGGACTTCCACCCTGTCCACTAAAACCTCTCCCTTCTCATCTTTGATTGCCATTTGCTTTGGTTTCCATTTCTGGTTGACATTTCTGATCATCATGTATATTTCTCTAGTCTTAATTCTCCATAATATTTTTCTATGTTTCTACACTGATCCTCTCTCCATTTTGCTTTATCCATCCTAACTGCTTTTTTCACATTACTTCTACATTACTAACATTTAAATCTGTTTAATTTTTATCAAGTTATATGTTGGATCTGCTTTTTTATTTATAACTCTTGAATAAATAGTTCATTTTAAGCTTATTTTACCTTTATTTGATATGTGGACTTTACATTTGGTTTAGTTGGTAATATATGTTTTTTGTAATAATAAACTTTCAGTTTAACACATTTTTGGAGCCTCTTGGGCTCATTATAACAAGATTCTGCCATATGTGGTTACTCTAATAATAATATAATACTTTGTCAATAAAGTATATTGTTGTCAGTATAGCAACTATTCATTTGAATTCATAATTGTTAATTTTACAGAATGTGCATACTGTCGAGTCGAGATCGGACTTGCATTCACAAAACGGTTTCGATGAGTTGCGACAAGAACAAAGGTTGTAAAGAGCTTTTGGATGAGCTACATGTAAGTTCTGCATTTTATGTATTTTTTTGTTATAGTAAAATTTAAGGATAAACAAATGTTACAAAACGAATTACAAGATGACATTAAGCAAGTTACAATGGATTATTGACATGGATGTATTTTATATCTAATTTTACAAATAGTGTTGACAAGAAAGCGCATTTGTTGACAAATGCAAAAACTTGCAACATCCTTCTGTTATCCAACATTGCACTTGTGCTTTCCATTGCTTTGGTCGAGTGTTGGCAAATTGTGAACATATTCTACTGGACAGTGGCAATTGAACTATACCTTGATAATGTTTTGACTGCATTGTTTACATTAATTTAGCCAAGTGCAAAGCAAAAGTCACATTTATTACTGTTTTGGTAATATAGTGGTTATGTGATGTTATGTCTCAAGGAGTAACACATTAGATTGGTGTTCCCACTCACTGCTACTCAAATTATTTTTATGAATAAAACTATTCGTGTCATGAACAAAATTATGCATACATCTATTAAATTATGGAAAGGACCTCAGTTTTTCAGTAGGCTCGAAGCAATGTTTTCTGGCACAGTTCAAAAGCCCACCCACCACTAGATTGTGTGTTAATGACCACTCCCTTCTCTCTTATTTTCTATAAGCCAGGAATTATCCTTTCATCATTAAGGTGCAAATTATTTAATTCAACGTGATCACCATTTCTTTAGTAAATACTATAGATATATATACACTGAATGATCACTACATTAGGAACACTTGCCTAATAGTTGATCTGCTCTTCTGGGCAATTGTGGCTTGCAAATGCTGAGGCATAGACTCTACCAGATTCTCAATATCTTCTATCCTTAATTAGACTCATGCCTACTTGACCAGTTTTGTCAGTTGGTGCACATTTCACAGAGGAGTAGGTGACAACCTTACCACACATTCCAGCATATCACTAACATTTTCAGTGGGGTTGCAGTCTAGTGAGTTTGGGGGGCCAAGGCAGTTTGTGGAATTCATTGTCATGTTCCTCCAACCATATTCCTGAGTGAATCTTGTCTAGTGACACTGTGCACTACCATGTTTCAATATTGAATCATTCTCAGGAAACATAGCCTGAAGATATGGGTGCAGATGATCACCTAACAGGTCCCTGTGTTGTTCTACATTCAAGTATTTTGGAATGACAACCAATTGCCCTAAGCCTTGCCAAGAGGCATCCAGACCAGGCATGGCCAACATGCGGCCTGTGGGCCAGATCTGGCCCGTCTAATGAATTTATGTGGCCCGTGATCAATCTTTCAATATTAGCTACTGAAGTCCGAATAGCTCAATAAAAAATTCTGACTACTAAAAAAAAAAGTTAACAACTCACTGTGTGTTTAGAGTTAACCCTGCATTACAAATCTCTTAAGTACAATGTAGAATGTTGATAAAGCATGATAATGTGACAAATGTATCTGTAATCTCTATGTACAATTTAGTCTCTATGGGGTGACACCACAATGAGATCTTGCACCACCTCAAAATTTTGCTAGGGCAGCCTCCGGTTTAACCCGTGAAAAAAGTTCTCTTTCCAATTTGGCCCGGGGGCAAAAACTGTTGGCTACTCCTGCTCCAGACTATGATACTACCCCACCAACTTGTGTAATCTCCAACTGTGCAACCAGAGGATATGGCTTTATACTGTTATGCTAGATTCAGACTCAGCAATTAACATGGTTTATCATGAAATTGGACTTGAGTCCAGGTGACCTTTTTCCTAAGTCCAAGGTCCAATAATGCCTTTCCTTTGTCCATGCAAAGCATTGTTTGGGATGATGTGGTCAACAGATGTGTTCTTGGAGATTGATGGCTACTGAATTCCAGTCAGTGCAAGATACCGTGCATCACAACGTCATCGTCCAAACATGTCTGCTTTATCCACTGTTTTACTGGCAGGTAAGCTGTTCCACTGTAGTACATTTTTCTTCGGATATCAGTTTTGACAAACCTCTGGGATCAATGGCCAACTGCTATGTGATCTTCTGGTGCATGATCCATGTACTTGTGATATACCCTAAACACCATGTTATGAGAACAACCAACTAGTACAACTGTTTCAGAAATACATCTGCCCTGGTTTCTGGCATCTGCCCTCTATGCTCCAACAATCTGTCTGCATTCAAATTACCATTTGCCCAAGACTGTCAAATACTGTATTGCCTTCTACTATGCAAATAACAGGTCAACATGCAGGCCTCGGAGTCGCTCACTTTTCTCACTTGTACTCACTTTTCTGAAGTATCCTCACTTTTCTCACTTTTCAGGTCATTTTCTCACTTTTCTCACTTTTTTGGTCATTTCTACGTGCTTAAAAATTAGGAAGATGTGGGACCAATCAAAAATAGTTTTAAAGCCAGACGATCTGCCGAATTATCGAACTATCGGACTAGATTTTTATGGAAAAAAATACTCCGCCCGAGCGGGACTCAAAATCGCAACTGCCGCTCAGTGTTGTTAAGTTATCGTCTGTATTTATACGTAACTAGGTAGTCAGTAAGGCTGTGTACACACTAGGCGTTTTTAAACGCGCGTTTTAAAGAACCAAGAGTTCTACATAGGCGTACACACTCAAACGCGCGCTTTTGGCCAAGCGCGCGTCAAACGCGCGTTGATAGATTTTTGTTAAAACGCGCGTTTTGCGGGCGTCAGCCGAGCGCTTTGAGATATATGTGCTGCCATGTTACTGTACATTCGATCGCGCGTTTTCGGGTAGAGTGGACGTACGTTGGCCGAAATGGAGAACGATCATTTCGATACTGATCTATTTATTGATGAAATCTAAAAGAGACCAACCATTGTCAAATGATTTTATAGATATTTTAAAAGAATTAAAAAACTTGGGTTCATTTTGTCTTAGTTTTGGATACAACGTCGCGAACATTCCATGTGTCAGTCTATCTCGTAATATTGGGTGCACCCAAAATTCTCTTTGCCTCTGCCATCGTCTTTTATAGCGACGATGGAGGAGGGGCACACAAGCAATTACTTTCACGTCCATTTCCAAGCTGAGCCAGTGCGTACGCTCTATTAACGCTCGTCGAAAGCCGAGCTAACGCGCGTTTAAAAACGCCTAGTGTGTACACAGCCTTAATTAAAACAAAAAATAATAATTAAATTTAAAAATATTTAACTTAAATTTAAAATTAAATTAAAATTTTAAAACTGTTCTTTATATCGAAACAAAAACCGAAACCGTAGCTAAAATTAAAAATAAAATCAAAATTAATTAATGTAAATTAAAATTGAAGTCAAATCAATTGAAACATATTATTTGGGAAGGTGCGGATAAAGTACTTGTCGATCTTGATTAATTTGGTTAGGTCTATATTTCATGCAGGCAGAGTTGAGAGTCTATTTATAGCACTTATTTGTAAAGGGTTAGTTTCGGTTTCGGCGGTGAGGGAACATCTGCAGGAAAAAGTTCCTCGTTATTTATGAAATCATTAATAAAATATTATTTTACTTATTCTATTTGAAATCTGTTTATTTCGGATTTATTAATTTATTTTTAAATCAATCTCGAAGCATTTTAAAAAATAAACAGTTTCCGATCGTGCTCATAAAAGTTTCGTTTTCTGCTTATTATCGTTTGATTTTGTTCGTAATAAGAGTTGTTAATTTTATTTCAAATTAATATAATAATCACATTACAAAAATGGAAAATTTATATACAAATAAAATTTTGAAATACGTTAAACTATTCAATTGTAAATATAGTTTGTGTAGATCTAAATAATTTACATTTAATGTTAATTTTTGACAAATTATATATATTTAAATGATCAAATAGAATTGGTAAAACATGCAAAAAGTAATTTTCTAAGTATTGCTTTATTTTATTGGTAATTTTTTTATTCTGTTCTATTTTTAACACGTGCAGAGAAGTGACCGATCACGTGGTCAACACGTGTTTACTCTCTTTCGATTGTGATCGACCAATAAAAATCTCTAGCGGAATGATACCGACAAACTGTTGGTTTATAGCAGGTTCCAAGTTAGAATATAGATGTAATGGTTTGAATCCACTCAATATGACGCTACCAAAGTGCAAATTCCGAACTGATTGGTTGAAACAAAAGGACAAGGCAGATTGTACAGTAGGATTATGGGCAACTGTACGTTCAGACACTGATGTATTTTGCAAAGTATGTAATTGCATAATACAAGTAAAAAAAGGTTTCCAAGCACTTTTTGATCATGGAGGTACTGTCAAACACAGACAAAAATTTACCTGTGCTTATGGTCCAAGACAGTTACACCTGACATTGGTTGCACCAGGTGATAGTTTTGCAGGCCCATCAAAAAATGCTGAAATTCCAAGTAATACTGATAATGGGACTGGAGAAGGATTGGCAACTGTGAGTTTATATAATCCAAGAGATGTTGCATACCATGCAGAACTGATATGGGCCATGAAAACAATATGTAGTAATTTCTCATTTGCTGCTTCTAATAATATGGTTCCAACACTACAAGCAATGCTTCCAAAAACTAAACTTCCTGAAGGAATATCAATGAGTGAGAAGAAATTGCGCTATTTAATAACTGAAGCATTGGCTCCCTACTTCCAAAAAAAAAATGCTAGAAGAAATCCACTCTTCATTTTTTACAGTTACTTATTATGAAACCATCAATGTGGAAAGTAAGAAAGAGTTACAGATAATGATTAGATTTTGGTCTGAGCAAAAAGAACAAGTTGTCTGCAGACACCTAAATACATGCTTTCTTGGACGGGCAGATGCAGAAACATTGCATACATACATTATCAAAGCTATCGATGATGCCAACCTGTCACTACACAAACTTTTGATGATAGGATCAGATGGTCCTAATGTTAATCAAAAAGTGTTACGACTTTTTAAGGAAGATATACTGGGAATTCGCAAGAAAAGTAGTTTACAGAAACAGAAAAAAAGAGCAGAAGAGGAAGCACAGAAAAATTTTGAAGAACATCAAAAGAGAGCTATTCATGTCAAGGAAAAGAT